TTATTTGCTATAAATATTATGAATAAAAACATACATGAGTTGAGACCAGGGGTAAGTGAAGTAGCACGAGTGAATGAACGTTTTTTTTTGTTGTCGAAGAATTCCCACTTTGAAGAGAAAGATATTGCCACTGAGACATCAGTCCTACTAACGGATTTAACTGTGAGTGGATTAGACACAGCTTATTCCTCTCACACTGGGGGTCCGTACAACTTCGCTGATGATGCTAAAATTGTCGAAGACATCAGGTTCCATAATTTACATGTAAGTATTTTACAATTTTAACATTGCTGTCAGGTGTTTCGATGGATATCAAATAATCTTACCTTGAATACAATTTCTGTTTATACATTTTCATTCAAATATGATATTTAGTTAATGTACCTACATGCCTAGTTAATAAAGCTTATTTAATAGATTGCCTAACAGATTTAGGTAAGATAATGTTTGAGCTATTGGCCAATATTTTATTTTTTATTATTATTTGTCTTGATTTATTTGTTTATTAATTAATTAAACGTTTGAATCAAATCTTTCTGTGATACAGGTCCAAGGTAAAATATATTGCGCAAACGCAAGTACCAAGGGATTTCGAAAGTTTTTTATCGAAATAAAAGATTTCACTATATCTATTAAAATAAACTTGAAGTTTATGAAGGAAAACAAAATGAAGAAATATAAAAAGCCACATAATGTGTTCAAAATTGATTACTTGGGATGGAGGTAATATTAAAAAAAAAAAAATGCAATAAATATTTATATTCTATTCTAATACAGTAAGTAGCAGTAGAGATCCTTGTAAAAGAGTTCATCTAGGAAAGTACTGCCATCTTACCTATTTCTGCCGCCAAGCAGTAATGTGAACAATACTGCACTCGTAACGAAAAAAGGCACAACTATGCGTACTTTATACAACAGTTGTGCCTTTTTACGTTCCGAAGGCAGAATACTGCGTTTTGAAGGTTAAGGGTTAAGGTGCTGGTGAAATTACATGCACATGGCACTTGTCAACTTATGTCTCAGGGTGACGGGTACTGTAGTGAAGTTCAATCATAATATACGAAGTGCTTGTCCGTATAGATTAATATTTCCTATATTTTATTATTAAATTACTTATTATTAACACAATATACATACGAAATTAAACTGTTTTTCGGATCTAAATCGCGTACGTTTGTTTTTACACACAAACCAAAACGTTTCGACCCTTTACACGTGTCATAGTCACGCGTGAGATGGTAAAATCATCAGTCAGTTATGTCCAATATTAATGTACACCCTATATTTTCCACTGTAGTTACAAAAGTTGTTAATTAAATACTTTATTTTTAAATTTTCTTTACAAAATTTAAAAATTTGAATGTTCTTTGGAACATTCCATTTTACATAACGTATGTGTTTTACAAATTATTTAAAGAAAATGTTTTTTTTTTTAAATTAACGTTATTAATAATGGCAAATAGAATAAATTAAAACATATTAATTAGTACTGCAGTCTTATGTTTGCTTGGGATTGTTCATCACAAAAATACTGGATCCCAAACTGGCGGTACGGAGAAACCATATTCCCTGTTGAATTGAATAAAGAATTTTCTTGACAATTTTAAGTCACTTCCATTTGTAGTTGTGGATGACGTTTTTATATCACATTAAGTTAAAGTATCTCGATAGTCATATTGTACCTACTTAGATACCAAATAGTATCAGATTACCCCGTACGTACGTGAGGCGCACCATAAGTTTCCGGAATGAATAAGAAAAAAATACTATAAATGGTCAGAAATGAATTTATTGTTTCTTAAAATATTCTCCGTTAGCGTTAATGCCCTTTTTCATACGAATGAACCAATTTTGAAAACATTTATGCCACTCCTCCGTGACAATCTCTGAAACATATTTTTCATACTTTTCGACAGCCCCTTCAGATGATGAAAATTGTTGGCCGCGTTACTGGTTCTTAATTTTTATAAGTTGACAGTAAGATGAAATAAACTGTATTCTACAGCGAAAGAGTTCCATTTTCAAATTACTTTTTAAATATTGTTTATGTAAGTGGCCAGTTCCGGAAAAACTTATAGTGCGTCCTATGTAAAGTAAATAACACGATAATTGTCATATATATCAGATGTAATACCGTATTTTGAATGTACATTTGCTGTAATACATAAGGTGTGTTAGTACTCAATAAATAAATATATCAGAAATTTGCTAATGGATTTCGAAAGTCGCTTATTATTGTTCCCTAATTTTTCCAAATTACTCTTTTTATAAATAACTCATGAAATATTGATTTCCTTTTCAGAGACGTGGACTACAATAATTTAAACGAATTAGTTTCAAAATCATTCATTAGCGCTTATCTACTCCAAGAAGTTCCTCGATATGTAATAAAACACTTTTACGATGTTCTCCCACGAGCTACAGACATAGCGAATAGTGAAGTAAATGATGATTTAATAAGCTTTAATAATATTAACCTCTCGAAACATGACATAATTAATAGTAGCAAAATAAATGAAATTAACGGAGACATTATTCTAAAAACTATAAAAAGTGTAGATTACCAAAATATTACAAATACGAATAGAACACAATTTAAAATTAACAAGAACCTTGTACAAAATAGTGTTACAACAAAAGTATATGTAAAAAAATATCACAATTTTTTACAATAAAAACGGCCAGAACACATAGTGAAAACTGTCATACAAGAAATAGAAGTACATCGTCAATGTTATAAGATTGAATGGAAAGCACTGGATAAAAATATTACAAAAAATTGCATGTATGACTATAACTTAGGGCTCTTACACATAAACACGATACGACGTCGTCGCGATATATGTAAGAACCCTAAGGGCGTACGCGACGTCGTACCGTGTTTATATGTAAGAGGACTTACAATTATCGTAGATCACAAAGAACAAAAGGAGATTTTTAATTTAAATTGTTTTACAATGTAATGTTCTTTTACTTAATAAAACTATTAAAAAAATAATAGTGTTTTCTGCCAAAAAACCTAATGCTTACGACTTCATAGTCATGCTGCAGAAGAATTGTGTTGATTCAACGCCTTTATTTTTTTTACTTAATGTGACTGATCCACGAGTATGTTATTTTAGATTATTACAAAGCAAAAGGAACGTCAATATTTTAAGATGTCACCAAATTGTTTAGGTTAGTTATGAATTCGGGTCATGGAATTATTATTTCGACCCCTCCTACGTAAAGTATCGTGTGTCGAAATTGCCAGGTTTACGTTTAGTTGCCAAGGGAGCGTTTTAAAGTTCTGAATTCACTGAAAGAGTTATTATCTAATAGACCATCTAATCGATATCTAGGATTTTGTAAGCTTTGCCGAACAAAACTGAGAAACGCTAAATTCACGTGTTATGCTTATTTTAGTGAATTCAGAACTTTAAAACCCTCCCCTGTAAACTTGGCAATTTCGACATATGATATTTTACGTAGGAGGGGTCGAAATGTGAACAAAATATCAATTTTGAGTGTGTAATTATATTTGATATATTTCATACGGGACTTACACAAGCTGAAATATGAGTATATCAGAAATTTAACGACGTATAACGAGTGCATTGATACGGATACTTGACATATGAAAAGGTCTCAATTAACGATTTATTCTTGCTGAACCTAAGCAAACTCGTAACGCTGTACCTGAGGACGAGGGACTCTTAATAGACAGTCAACATTGACTTATCCGTCATTCCAGTGACCTGATTTATATAAAGTAACATGCGCACCAGAACTGATATTTTCTTTGTCTTTTACTTTTAATCCGTAATTGAAGTAAGTACTATACTATAAATAAACAATATACGCCAACTCATTACATAGATATGTTTCTGAATACAATAAAATGTGTTTAATAAATAGCACACTTAAAAATCTATTATGAATCTAGTCATGTTTGCTTTTCATTCGTTGGAATAATGAAACTAGAGTTACTGACACTGAAACGTGTGAGCCGGGAAAAGATACCTCATTAAGTTTATTAGATACCTCAATTAGCAGTAAACCGCCTGGTGAAATAGTTCGTCCAGGGAAGTACTGCCACCACAGACATATCATTAAGTTAATCGATAAGATCTTATATTACAAAAAGACAGTTATATGAATAATAAGTTCATTTTATTGCACGGACAATAATTTTATTATTTGAAGTCGATTAAAGTCTTAGGGTCGTATTCCAGAATCGTACTCAATGCTCAAGTCAGGATTTGAGCAGACTTGAGTATGATTTCAAGCACTGGAAATACGACCCTAATGGCAAGGACTTGAGTATGATTTTCAGTGCTCACTGCAATACTCAAGTCCTGACTTGAGCATTGAGTAGAGTTCTGGAATACAACACTTAAATTCTTTAAGTAATCAGCATGTATTAAAAACAAGTTTTAATAACGGACATAACTATCTTATTCTAGTATTTTTCTACTATATTAATATATCACGACTACTTGTAATCAAATACTTGAACAATCATTATTCTATTTAGAATCGATTCCGTTCAATCAATCGATTTAGTGCGGAAGGAGGTTTCCCATCACTAAATAGTTCTTGTGACGTCATAGTGGGTACGAAAACTGAGGCACGCTTGGTTTTCATACAAATTGCTGAACATGCGGCGTCTATCCAGATGTATGTTTGTGATTGTCACCCTACCTATTTTTACCGTCAAGCAGTAATGTGAGCATTATTGCGTTCCGGTTTTAGAGGGTGCTGGTGAAATTACAGGCACATGGGACTTTTCAATTTTAGTCTCAGGGTGGCGGGCGCAGTGGGATTTAAAGCTCTGAACAGACGTGTCGCTTACCATCAGGCACACGACCTGCTCGTCCCGTCACTTGGTTTCATAAAAAAGGTACCTTGCATTGAATTTGACTTCTCGAGTAAGTATGTATTTGATACATAGTAATTAAATGCAAGAATATTTCTCCATAAGATACCTTTACCTGTGGATCGACCAAGCTTGTGTCCAAGTTGAAGACTAATAAGTTAAAAGACGACAACAAAGTTAAACAATATATTAAAGTAACAGCGTCAGACTTACACAGGTTTGTATACTACGTTGTCTTCGTCAATATCATCTGAATAATCATGAGCAAAACTCTCTTTATCGGGCGCTGGTGAAAGCACATTAATGAGTCTCGGTAATAGTTCTGTTGTTTGACTGTAACAAAGCATAAATTCAATATTATTGTAAACTCGTATGTACGTGTTGGTTTAGAATCGAACAATAAACAAATTGCAACTTTTTGATGTTGGAAATGTGAATGCTGTTCTAGATAACATAATTATAATTTTTACTTTCGAATCAACGTGTGGCTATTGTCATCGATGTACTTACTTAGGTATTTATTCAATAGGAAAAGACAAATTGTTTTATTAATCAAATGTTTAACCAATATTTTTATAAAATGAGTTTCAAAATTAAATAGGACTCACGTTTTAAGACGTATAGCAGAAACTGTAGACCCTTGAAATTCCAGGTTTGCTCCCAATAATTCTTCAGTTACGTAGGTCTGATACATCGATAGTGTCTCTCCCATTATGTTCAATGATTCTTGAGTTGTTGTGTCTTGTCCCTACAAATGAAAGCAATACACAAATTATGAATAAAATAAATAAATGAATAAAATTCGTTGAAGGTAGTACAATAAAAGCTTTTACCATTTGTGTCACCTTGGATCGTGGTTCCATAGCCTGCAAATAAATTATTTAGTGTAACGCTTTTACCATAAACTCTGTTTTTAAACAATTGCAAAGGGGTGCTTTTATCAAAGGATGTTCCTCCGCAAGGTTTATTCGGAATTTTAACCGACTTCAAAAAAATTAGGAGGTTCTTAATTCCACTGTACGTATTTTTGTATGTATGTTACGCGATAACTTGAGAACCGACTTTGATGATTCTTTATTTGTTGGAAAGAAGATACCTTAGTAGTAGTCCCATTAAAATTTGAAGAAAATATTCCACCACTAAGGGTGGCAAACTAGGGGCTGAATTCGGTTTCGCATTCTAAATAGATGTAATTCCACGAACTTTTGAGGTCGGTTTTTTTAGTACTCTGTACTGATATTATTAAAGTTTATTTATATATATTTTTTATTATATAATTCTGAGTGTAGGTATGATACGACTTTTATAAACTATGGTTAGATTTATCTTTTATTGGATTATGGTGTCTGGAATATGGCAATCATAGAGTAAGTCGTGTTTCCAATCCAACTCCTGTACACTCAAAACCTGATATACTAATCTGAAAAAAAAAACTCATTTACACGTCCAACTTCCGCTTGACTTCGCATTGATTCCTCTGCAATCTTATCGTATCTCGTGAGCACGTTAGCATATTTTCGCGTGTCCTTGACTTGAGTCCATGTGTCATGGAAAGCTTTCTGTTCTGGTTCCGCTGCTTTGAAATCAATTCCGTTGGGGTTGTACGTATTACTATCTCCATCTGCCGACGTATTTCGTTTAATTAAACAACTATAATTATAACAAACTAGTGGAGTAAATTCACAAAAAGATAATTGAATATCAATTTAATAAAAATTAGACTTCGTATATGACGATAATATGACGAAGAATTGATGTTATTAAATATTAATTACTAATTTTTATGAGATTTAGTTGTTACTTATGTATTGTAAACCTTTCTATATACTAAAAAATCTATAGATGCACATTATGAAGCGCATCTCTATTTTAGCCACTGTCCATACACTTAGCAAGGCTTACTTTCATTAAACTCTAATCATACTGCAACAGGTTAATTGGCTAAGGTTTAAGTTCGACATCTGCTGGCCTAATCCAAAATATTTCCCTTTTTGATTTATTGTACACTAGTATTCAGAACGTGCTTAATTTTATTGTCAATAAGATCTCGAGCTTTTCATTGGTTATAATATCGACATGACAACATAGGGCCGTTATACGATTCGTTGGTTTTGGGCGTCAAATATTTTTTAATTCGTCATCCCGAAGAATTAGCCATTTTTTTTAAATAGGCTGCTATTCTACAAAGCTTCGAAAATTTAAAATATTCAATGAAGTACCTCCTACCGTTGCTTAAAAATGTGTGAAAGTAAGTACGATTGTTTAAATTAAAATATCCGCATCAACATCAGCATCCGCATTCATCGATGCTGATATTCATTGCGGATGTTCGAGTCGTAACATTACCTAAAAGGTACGCTGATATAATTTACAAACCTTCCAGAAACAGACTGTAAGCCGAAAAAGCAGATCACATACTTTGACAAAATTCCGTAACGATTAAGTTGGCAGATTGATTAGTGCCAATGCTCAAGTATTATTTTTGTAATTTTTACTCAAATAACGTAATTAATGTGGCCGGACACTGATTTCCAACAGGCCTTTGCTTAGTTTGGATAATCAGAGTTAAACAATCAATTTGTACAACAATTACTTAATTAGGTTTACGTGCAATTTTGTGGTAACTTGTTTCATCTTTGTACAAATATTCTTGTGAATATTACTATTATTATTATTTCATGAAAATTGTTAATAAACGTTTTGTTAATAAATGTCACGTGACAAAATCATTCCAATAATATTTTATTACAATATCAAAGAAAATAAAAAGCTTTTTCACGTATATGATAGATTCAGTAAGGATGTATATTTTCGCGTTTTTTTAAATACCTAAAATCAGCATCAGCATCACCGTAAGCTGACGTTAAGGTCAAAAATCAGCATCCGCATCAGCATCCGATGATGTGTAAAAAACCTGCATCAGCAATAACCTTAATTGTAAGGTGAACAAAAGATTGTCGACTGGCGACAATAAGTGGTTTTATCTCGTGTTCTAGGTGTTATATCGCTGCAAAAAGTCCTTTAACTATCAAATTAACCTATCGATACCGAAGATCATACCGGTGTCAGCTATTTCTGGTCCCATTCTGCGGCTATGCCGAGGTACGCCAGCGTCTAAATCTACATCAGGTTTGTCGTAGAACTGACCACGTCGCATATAAACAGTTGTATCTTGTCCTGAAAGATTATTTCCAATTAAAATTGGAGATGAAGGTATATTCGAAAAAAATTTCGTACCTCAAAGGAGAGGAGGAGGAGACATAGCAGATTTTTTTTTGTAAAGCTGTGTATCACTACCACTCAACAGATGGTGGTGCATACGCTATGCTAAGATGGCCGCTGAATTAGGAGCGCCGTAATATCGCATAAATACTTGAAACCCGAGAGCTATATAATCTGCTATGCCAAAAAGAAAAAATACATCGACGATAAGAACACGTAACAAGCATTTTGTATTTAAGTAGTTGTGATGCGATTTGCAATTCAAATGTTCATCGTATTTTCGGATGCTACCGCGATTAAACCTTACGCTTCAACGTCCCAATAAGATAAATAAATAAAATTTTGTCACTAACTTGTGAATGTGAGGTATTCTGCCATTGAATAGTTGTAACCATAAGCGACGCCCGCGGCGATAGCTATGATCAGAGCTAGCATGATCACACCACTTAAAATACACCCCAAGCAGAAGGTTAGAATTCTGAAAAAATAAAAAAACTGGTATAAATTAAAGTAATCTTGTGAATTATAAATTACTTCCATCCAAAGGTTGGCTGGCTGAAATCGCTTAAAGCGATAAGACCGCCCATTGTACCACCGCTTACATTTATTTTAATTGTATTGTATTTGTTTCCTTTTTTGGTGTACAATAAAGAATTTTTGTATTGTATTGTATTGTAATTCTATTAACACAATTCAAAGTTCAGTTCTGGGACTGAATGAGAACGTGTCTTGTAACAAATAGAGTGTGAGATTTTGTGTAATTTAAAAAAAATCTTTATTATCGTTCGTTAAATTCCGTCTTGTTACTTAAGTTAGTGCTGAACTTGTAAAATTGTATATAAAACAAGATGTTATATTAGCAATAATTTCACAAAACAGCATGTCACAGGCGTCTATTATAATTATTATTAAACTGTTGGCAATATACATAGGTTTATTGTAAGAGAAATATTATGTAAAAAAGTAGTTATTTCATGTATGATAGTTTGTAGCCACCATTGACTTACAATTATATGGACGTCGGGTCCGCGCTAAAAAGTGTCCGCACTTGTAAGGCGCTAAAATCGTATACAGAGCGCCACACTCCGCTTTAGTCTTCATTTGTTCGACTGACAGCGCGATACTGCGATGACATTACAATTTAAATTTCGAATAGGTTGACTTGGGACATTTTTTTCGTGGTTTTTGTATTAGACCCGTCGTCCATTTATTTGTAAGTCAATGGTAGCCACAAACAAATTTAAAAATAGAAAAGAATTCGCAATGTCGTAGTATTTTATGAAAATTATTTCGTCCCAGTCGTTGTAAACAAAAACAACCAGTTTTACTCTGTAATTTAGTTACTAGTCAGGCGTCACGATATTCTAGACAGACATGGTTAGAGCCATTATCTATATACGCGCGCTTAAAACTTATTTGTCATTTGTCATTGTCATGTTATTAGAGAACATTACAATTAAATTTTACTTCTGGTTAAAACTATAACATTGTTAAAAACTGTTGTATCTGAGCAGAATGGTTGATGAGCGGTACAGACACGCTTTTTAGGCTATGTGTAATAATTAACTGTAATTAGTTTTTTCGGTACTAAATAATAATAATAATAATAGATCTAATATATCTCGAGTAACAATACAAAATTTGTATTGTTTGTTAATAAGACAAGCACATATAGGAATATGGATATCACAACAATGTCTCATGTATGCCCAACGAGCGCAGGATGGAGTCATAGTAAAATAAGTACTTTACAAAGTAACAACACGGCTTGTGTACGAACTATAGTATGGACACACAGATTCGCATAATAATGAAAGGCGTTTGTGACCACCAATATTAGGGCGCGTTCCTATTATGTATTATAATACTATCTCAAGTTTTCTTACCTATCAATATTGACTTCGATTTAATAAGCTATAGATATTACCGGTAGTGCTTGTTTCACACAATTTATATTATCGATAGCAATATACTACTACGCAAAAGTATCGACACTCGATGCCGATGGTATCGGCAATAATAATTTTATTAATGAATAAGTAAGGTCTAGTGTCAAAACTTTGAGTATTTTTGATACTATTGTTGCAGGTTTCAAAGTATCGATAATTTTTAAAGACTATAAGTATAAAAATTATTTTTTATTTGAAAAAACCTAAATTTAAACTTATTTTAAGAATCTTTTATTATTATAAAATCATATGCTTAATTAATAAATTTATTTGTACTTCAGCTGAAAAAAAGTGTATGAAAGAAAAATAACACGCAACATCGACAGGAGCAATGCAGTCATGAGAAAGAAGAAAATGTGTAAACAATTAAATTTTACGCAAATGTGAATTAATTTATTAAGAGTTAGAATTGTAAATAGGTAATTTGACCAAGTCGGCAAGTAAGCGATATGCCACATATTGCTACTACCTAGTTGATTACTTTTGGTAATGTAATATAATCAGAAAATAGTTTGACATTGGTGATTATTAGTAAGTAGCAGTGGTAATAAAGTAGTTATACTAAATAAGTATGTATTTTATTTGTATTTAGCTCTCTTAATCGTAATATATTATTTGTATTTTAGTAAGTAGTAAGCTAATTTAAGTACCGAGCTTGTTAGCTCATCGCTAGGTGGTTAAACCATTAAGTTTTTACCTAGCGTTAATGTAATAAAATTAGTTAATGTTTTTGAAATTGAATAAATAAAAAAAAGTATGATAAAGTTAGAGAATACGAAATTTTGCAGTTGCAAATC